ATACAAGATGGCCGCCGGTAATCACGTTTGTCTTCATATCGGGCGCCAGCAGCAGAGCAGAGACATCTCTTCGAGTCCTTTCACAAGATGCATTTTTTCCTATCCAGTGTGTGAAGCCGACATTAGAACTCGGCAGTGTTAGAGGTGAGAGGTGAAGTGTTGGGGGTTGCATTGTTTTTAGGTGGTCAGTGTGAGATTTTAGAGGGTTCAGTGTAAAAGGTTTAGGTTTAGGTTTGGTGTTGGGGTTAAATTCCAGGGGGTTAGGTCTCAGGGGTTGGGTTCCTTTTTAGTGTATTAGGTCAGGTATTGGATTTCAGGGGGTTAGGTCTCAGGGGTTGGGTTCCAGGGGGTTAGGTCTCAGGGGTTGGGTTCCAGGGGGTTAGGTGTTAGCCCTTAGGGTTAGAGGGTGTAATCACGTTTGTCTTCATATCGGGCGCCAGCAGCAGAGCAGAGACATCTCTTCGAGTCCTTTCACAAGATGCATTTTTTCCTATCCAGTGTGTGAAGCCGACATTAGAACTCGGCAGTGTTAGAGGTGAGAGGTGAAGTGTTGGGGGTTGCATTGTTTTTAGGTGGTCAGTGTGAGATTTTAGAGGGTTCAGTGTAAAAGGTTTAGGTTTAGGTTTGGTGTTGGGGTTAAATTCCAGGGGGTTAGGTCTCAGGGGTTGGGTTCCTTTTTAGTGTATTAGGTCAGGTATTGGATTTCAGGGGGTTAGGTCTCAGGGGTTGGGTTCCAGGGGGTTAGGTCTCAGGGGTTGGGTTCCAGGGGGTTAGGTGTTAGCCCTTAGGGTTAGAGGGGGGTTATGAGTTAACTGAAGTTTTAGGGTTAATGCCCAACTGCAGATTAGTTTTTTGGGGGTGGGATTTATTGCTGCCTAGGACACAGACAGGAAGTGAGGGGATCCCACCCCACCCGACCATGTGACCTCTTTAGATTGGTCAGCATTCCGCTGACCAGTGTGCAGGCAGGAAGGTGACGCCGGAAGCTGCAAAGTGTTCCCTCCTTCCTGTCTATACAGCGTGGTAGAAGCACAAATGTGGCGGCAGCTATTCGCGTATGCCTATGTACGTACCGCCCCTCGTGCAGCTCGGAGTTCTGCCCCGCCGGTCCCAGTATTAGGACGCAAATCCACTGCCAAAGGCCGGATCGTTTTTTGTTTTAGAACTGCCATGTCCAGCGCTGTCGACCAATTAAAATCTGCGCTTCTCTATGAAGTGTGAGACCGCTTCTGATTGGCCGCCTCTCCTTCATACGCTTGCCAGCGTGTACAGAGGGCAGGAAGGGCAGAGCAGATGTATGAGCCGGGCGCTGCCAGAGCTGCCCCCAAAAATGATTAGTTCAGTGAATTGCTATTGTTCCCAGACTCGCCCGCCGGTAGCTGCAGGGGGTGGGCAACCTCGGCACTCCGGCTGTTGTGGAACTACAAGTCCCATGAGGCATTGCAAGGCCCCGACAGCCACAGGCATGACTCCCAAAGGGATTTGTAGTTCCACGACAGCCGGAATGCCGAGGTTGTCTACCCCTGGTGCAGTGACTCCATTGATTGAGGGCAGAGATGGGGACTCTGGTTGGAGGCACCTCATCATTAGTACCCCCTGTAGGCTCCAGAATCGGGGTGCCGGTGTTTGGGTGTCACACGGCCCGGATTTAGAGCTCGCAGAGTGTTCCAAGTAGTGATTTTACTTTAGCGTGGAGTCGGTCGCCACCGAAGAAGCCCCCTCCGTACCCTGAGATTGTGTTTTATTGCGTGCTGAGCATTTTACATGAGCCGATTTGCTGATTTTTGTTGTTATGTTTCACTATTTTGTCTTTTAAATAAAGTTTTTTGTACCAGTCATGTGACATCAGTTATTTTATGTGTATTATAAATGGTTCAGCAGTGACATCACCGCGTCCACAACGCGTGTATCCTCCAATGGAGTGGCAGACTCCTTAAGGTGGGGGTTATATACTTCTCGGATGAGATGAATTATATTAATCGGAAGATAGACGATGGCTCTGCGGGAGGCACAGAGGATCTCTGCCCCCCCCTCCCCCCCGCCACCTCCTAATCAATCCGCCTAAATGATTAATGAGGAGCAAGGGAGGGGGAGGGGAACGGGGTCTGTACTTGCCGCAGGGCTATCCCGCTGCAGATCGGGGCGCCTGCAATATACAGCGGCTCAGCAGTAACCGGTATAATGATTCATCCACCACTCAACCGATGGCGTTGTATGGCTCATCCACCACTCAACCCATGGCGTTGTATGGCTCATCCACCACTCAACCCATGGCGTTGTATGGCTCATCCACCACTCAACCCATGGCATTGTGTGTCTCGGCCACCAGCCAACCAATGACAATTGTGAGGCTCATCCACCACTCAACCGAAGACGTTGTATGGCTCATCCACCACTCAACCGATTGCGTTGTATGGCTCATCCACCACTCAACCGATGGCGTTGTATGGCTCCTCCACCACTCAACCGATGGCGTTGTATGGCTCATCCACCAGTCAACCGATGGCGTTGTATGGCTCATCCACCAGTCAACCGATGCCGTTGTATGGCTCAGCCACCAGTCAACCGATGCCGTTGTATGGCTCAGTCAACCGATGGCGTTGTATGGCTCAGCCACCACTCAACTGATGACGTTGTGCAGCCCAGCCACCAGTCAACCGATGGCGTTGTGCAGCCCAGCCACCAGTCAACCGATGGCGTTGTATGGCTCATCCACCACTCAACTGATGGCGTTGTATGGCCCACGCCCCAGCCAGTCGATCCGATGGCGTTGTATGGCTCATCCACCACTCAACCGATGGCGTTGTATGGCTCATCCACCACTCAACCGATGGCGTTGTATGGCTCATCCACCAGTCAACCGATGGCGTTGTATGGCTCATCCACCAGTCAACCGATGCCGTTGTATGGCTCAGCCACCAGTCAACCGATGCCGTTGTATGGCTCAGTCAACCGATGGCGTTGTATGGCTCAGCCACCACTCAACTGATGACGTTGTGCAGCCCACCCACCAGTCAACCGATGGCGTTGTGCAGCCCAGCCACCAGTCAACCGATGGCGTTGTATGGCTCATCCACCACTCAACTGATGGCGTTGTATGGCTCAGCCACCAGTCAATCGATGGCGTTGTATGGCTCAGCCACCAGTCAACCGATGGCGCTGTGTGATCCGAAGGGCATCATTGATTGATAGGACCCAGAAGGAGGTCTGGCCGGTAGGTGGGCGGTGAACTGGCCATATCGTTGGTCCGTGTGATGAACTGTGAACAGCTTGGGTTCGGGTGGAACTCGCAGTCAATCGGGAGCCCGTCCCTGTTTGTGACTTTACAAATAATTTCATCCAAATGTGTCAATTTGAGTCAATTTGAGTCAATTTTAGACGTCATTTGACCAATGCCGCAGCTGGACGAGGAATGTCGCTGCAAGGATGTGCGATGTACG